ATTCAAGCAAATACATAGAAACAAAAGAAGAAAAAAAAGAAAAATCCTTTTGAATTCATTATCAGATCAAACTATTCAATTGAAATCTTGTAGCAGTATTTGATTCTTTCAAATATTCAATCAAGAATTCATTTCCAGTTTTTGTATTGAACAAAAGTTTTAAATTTAACTGTGTCAATTCAAACTTTTCTCTCAATCTCAATCTTAACTCTGTATGCTTTGTACAAAGTAAAAGAAGATGCTCTGGGTTTTCATATAACTGACAATCTGAACATAAATCACTTAAATCATTTCTAACTACGTGGCTATTCCACGCAGGATGCACCTTAAGCTAGTTACATATTATAACCCCTATAACCAACCGACCACCGCGTCCGTCCTCTCGGGCCGCTTTAACTAGTTCTGGCTCTTCCAGCTGGGGGTCCTAGTTAAGCGCCACCGCCCACTCTAGGCATCACCATAGCCTAGGGCTTCCGGTTGCTGATTTCAGCCCATTGCCCCCTTGGCCTACCAACCAGCCGTCGTGGCCTTGCCCCGTGTAAGGGACTAACCATAGGTTTACCCCACCCAATGTTTTACCCACTAATAGTGTTAGATGACCACTAGTAGGCCTTGGAGATAGGGCGCCTACCAGGGTATCCTGTTTGGTTTGCTACTACCTCTCTGATGAGGCAACCAAACGGATGGTTTTTAAAATCATTCCCTGTTGTTGGGGTGGCCCCCTAAGTGCCGGGGGCCTTGGCAGGTGCTAGCATGTATAAGCACCCTATACTCGACCCTCTGTAATCATCGGATCTTGCTTAGCTTAGCACTAATGACAGGGGAGATGCTTGGCACTAATGAGAGTGGCTTCCAGCGGCCACCACCCTCATCACTGGCAAGCAGCATCCCTGTCAGCACTGCCTCACTAAGCTTGGCCCCTGGTCACGGGGGCCTTCATGGGTAAGAAGTGGCCCAAAATGGGACCTTGCCAGCGGCAGGATTCGAACCTACAGCACATCTAACAGTGCTACCTTGGGTAACAGTCTTACCAACTGCGCCACACGGGCTGAGTTTTTGATAATTTACACAGAATCATAGACCTTCAGATTTTTTTACAAATAATACAGATGCTGCAACAGAGAAGTTGTTAATTTGAATAAAATCTTTATTTAATAATTCATTGAGTTTTTTTCATAGAATAAGAAGCTCATCACATGACATGCTGTAAAAAGAGCTTCAGAGTGATTGTGAATCTTTGTCATTTTTTTTAATGAACTCAATTACATGATCTATACCACATTTAGTGAGAGAGAAGCTTTTCAACCACTTTTTCATCAAACACATTTGTGAAATTTTTATATGATTTGAGGAGTTCTTTATGAGGTTTCTTGAAATTCTTAAACTTTAACTTTTCTAACACCTTTTTAATATCTATCATATTGACAGTGAACACTTGGACATTTTTCTTTTTGTGTGTTTGATGAGTTGGTAGCTTGAATGCTTCCGCTGATATTTGAATGAAGTCAGTGGTTTTGTTGATATTCTTTTTATAAACACAATCGCCTTTTGAGAAGATTTAGACAATGATTGTATGACGGGTTAGCACCTGTTAGTTGGTTAACTTACGCAACCAACCCCTTCTGCCTCACGCTGCCACTGCATATTTAATTCTTTCTTATATCTCCTTCTACCTTTATGACATC